GGGGCATCAAAGACCAATTCTCTCCACTCTTCACACTACACATCAAGGCCCAGAGAGGGCAGTGCCCTTGCCCAGGGGCACACAGCAAATTCATTGCAGATGGGGGCCCAGTACTCAGGGTTCCCACCTCTCAGCCAGAGGTCTTTCCTGGAACCCTGATGCCCCCAAAGAAGCGTCAAGCACTGTGGTATGAGGGCTTCAGTGAGGTGGCAGTGGAGGCTGTGTCTGCCATTTCTATTTCAGCCACCAGGTGGCGGCAGCTCCTCACTTATCTCGCCGTCTGGGCGGCCAGAGTGTGCGCGGGGACAGAGGTTCTCGTCCTCCAGCAATTTTTTTCGAACATTTTCTTTATGTATCTGACAGAAATTTAACATAACACACCTATCCACGTGCTTTACAAAAATCACTCTTCTATCACACTGTGGCGTAGCTGTAGCTGAAGGGAAAGGTCTACGAATTTCAGTGTGTTAAGGCAGATAGGATATCGTCCTAATATATTGGCACTTAAAAGAGGTGAGACGGTTGGAAGCCATTCTCTCCAAGAAGCCCAGGAAACTTAAGGAATATGAGTGAATGTTGAAATAAAAGCTGACAATGTATAACAAAACCATGTCCCCCCCCCAAAAAATCCACAAACCCCTAATATTTTACATGTAGAACAGAATCACGTTTTTTTTTTAAAGATTTTTTTTTTAATTTATTCATTCGAGACACAGAGATATATATAGAGAGAGAACATGAGCAGGGGGAGAAGCAGAGGGAGGGGGAGAAGCAGGCTCCTCGCTAAGCAGGGAACATGATGCGGGGCTTGCTCGATCCCAGGACCCTGGTATCATGACCTGAGCCGAAGGCAGACGCTTAACCATCTGAGCCACCCAGGCGCCCCGCCCCCCCGCTTTTTTAAAGTAAGCTCTGCAACCATCTTGGAGCTCGAACTCACGACCCCAAGATCAAGGGTCACATGCTCCTCCGACTGAGCCACGGGCGCCCCCACGCGTGATAATTCTGTATTGCAAGAGGGCATCTTGGCGTTTCTAGCTTCTACCTACCAAATGCCAAGAGGGTCGCCCTCATTGTGGCAACTAGAGCAGTCGCCCCGAGTTTACAGAGTGCCCCCCCCCAGGGTAGTACCTTTGACCCTGGGGCTTGAGGTTGCCCTCTGAGGCTCACAGTTCATTGTTGATGAGCAGTTTCTTAACCACAGCACAACTGACATTTTGGGCCCAGGGATTCTTTGTTGGGGTTGGGGGGGGGCTGTCCTGTGCATTGTAGGGTGTTTAGCAGCATCCCTGGTCTCTGCCCACTGGGTGCTAGTTGCACCTTCCCCCCAGCTATGACAACAATGTCTGCAGACATTGCCAAGTGTCCCTGGAGGGCAGAACTGCCCAGTTGAGAACCCCGCTGTGGAGTCTGATCACTGAGGTCTGACATGTGTTTTGCACAGGGTCCGGTCCCCTCCTCCACAGGAGAAACTGACCCAAGGACGGTGACTGGGGTACAAGCTGGGGAAGGCAGTGACTAAGTCTTGGGTCTATGGGAGCACAGGGCATTTAACCAGGCCTGGGGCAAGTTTCAGAAGGCTTCCTGGAAGAGGTGCCCCCTCCCAGCTGAAGGTCTAAGGGAAAGAGTTAGCCAGAGGTGATAAACAGAGGTGATAAATAGCTTCATGTGATCAGAAACTGTCACCAGCTCTGTGCTTTAACCATTTTGGTTGGAATGCTGGAAGAAGTAAGTTGGAGAGGCTGGGATAGGCTCAGGCCAGGGCTGGTTCAGGAGCTGGACTTGACCCTGAGGGCAATGGGAGCGAAGGATTTCAAGCGAGCCAGTGAGCTGTTCAGACTGGAATTGTAGGGAGCAGAGCAGAAGCTGTGGGAGCACTCCAGGCCACCGGGGACAGGGCTGACCCTGAGCAGCCCCCAAAGGGTGAGAGCGGGTAAGAGGAGGAAATGCTTAGGTGGCAAAATGGGAGGACCAGGTGATTGACAGGACATGGGAGGCGGGCAGAAGAGAGGCTTTGGCAGTAGAGGGTGGGGGTGGCCTGGATGGATGGAGACAGCAGCACGGAGAGGGGAAACTAAGGCAGTTGGGGTTGCATTTGAGCTGCTGGTGACCCTCCCTCCTATCCCTTACTCCACTCCAGCCACATAGGCCTCCTTGCTGGCCTCAAACAACCCTCAACGTATTCCTGCCTCAGGGCCTTTGCACTTGTCATTCCCTCCACCCAGAATGCTCTTCCTGGAGCCAGCTTCATAGCTAGCTCTTTGCTACTCTCTGTTCCAGTGTCTTGCTTTATAGTAAGATAGTAACTGTCTTGCCTTACTTTGAGCGATACCTGGCAGTATATTCTATTGCCTGCTTTCCCACCAGAATGTAAGCTTTATGAAGGCAGGTTTTATTCACCACTGGAGCCCAACATCTGGATCTGCTCTGTTCAATACAGCAGTCACTAGCCACATGTGGTGACTGAGTCTTAAAAATGTGGCTGGTTCTGGGCACTGGGTGGCTCAGTAGGTTGGACATCTGCCTTTGGCTCAGGCCATGATCCCAGGGTTCTGGGATCGAGTCCCACGGCGGGCTCCCTGCTTAGTGGGGAGCCTGCTTCTCCCTCTCCTCCCTGCGCATGCTCTCTGTCACTCTCTCTATCTCAATATCTCAAATAGATAAACAAAATCATTAAAAAAATGTGGCTGGCCCAAATTGAGATGTGCTCTGAGCATGAAATACACACCAGATTTTTTTAATATATATTTTTCAAGATTTTGTTTATTTATTTGACAAGAGAGACACAACGAGAGAGGGAACACAAGCAGGGGAAGCGGGAGAAGGAGAGGCAGGCTTCCCGCAGAGCAGGGAAGGCGCCCCAACACACACCAGATTTCAAATACTTAGTACAAAGAAAAAATAAGTATCTCCTTAATACTTTTTTTTTTTTTAAATATCGATGATGTGTTGAAATAACATTTTGGATACAATGGGTTAAAGAAAATATGTTATTAAAATTAATTTCATCTGTTTCCTTTTACTTTTTTTTTTTTAAGATCTTTATTTATTTATTTGACACAGGGAGAGAGACAGTGGGAGAGGGAACACAAGCAGGGGGGAGTGGGAGAGGGAGAAGCAGGCCTCCTGCCCGAGCAGGGAGCCCGATGCGGGGCTCCATCCCAGGACCCTGGGATCATGACCTGAGCTGAAGGCAGACGCCCAATGACTGAGCCACCCAGGCATCCCTGTTTCCTTTTATTTTTTAATGTGGCTACTGGAAAATTTAAAATTACACATGTGGCTCACATCCTATTTCTATTGAACAGCGTGATCTTGAACATTGCCTGGCATATAGTATGTGCTCAACAAATATTCCTTGAATGAATACATCTGGAAAACAGCTGGATATCCACTTCTGAGTTTGTTGGAGGCCCAGGCTTTGCACACATAGCTGACCATCGTCAGAGAAATGTTGCACACCACGAGTGTGGATAAGCCCTTATCCACCTCCTCTGCGCCAGTGTGGAGGGGCGAGCAATGCCATCCAGCAGGCAAGCTATGCCTGGGGAGGCATGGGTGCCACTACGGCATGGGCGTCTAGCTACGCCTTGGGGGTGGGTGCTGTGAGGGACGGCATCTATTTCTTCCCAAATGAGACCAAAAGGTAGGTAGGTATTAGCTAGGGTGGGGAGGGGGTGCTGCAGAGAGGCAGGCTCCTCCAGGCCAAGAAACAGCATGTTCAAACATCTGGAAGGAGATGGGGCACTGTGCCTGGCAGGAAAAGAAAACTCAGTATGGTTTGGAGCACAGAAACCGTAGGAAGCCCAGGCCATGGGGCTGGGGCAGGACTGGACAGGGCGGGACTTCAGAAGCCTCATTCGGGTGCTGGACTTACCCCGATGACAGGGAGCCCCAGAGGGCATAAGCAGGAGGACTAGGAGAAAATCAGGCAGGGTGGGTGGTGGTGGCCTGCGCAGCAGGGTTGGATAAAGCCCAGGGCAGCGTCAGATGGTGGCCCCTGGATGTCACTTAGGTCCTGGGTGATCTTCAGGAGAGCAGCCCCACTGGGGTGGCAAGGGAAGAAGACAGATAGGGGCGGAGAAGGGGCAGGAAGGGGACAAGAGAAAGCCACGTAGGTTGCTCTTTGTTTGCCCCCAGGAGGGAAGATGGCTGCAGGGAAATGCAGGGCCGGGGGCACGTTTTGGGGCAGATTTCTTTCAAGGATGGAAGGAACTTGGCCGTGTGTATGGACTTGGGGAACAGCAGCAGGGTGAGGGAGTGAAGCTAGGACAGAGTCCTGCCTTCTGACCCTATTGCCAACCCCCACTCTACTTCCAACAAAAGGGACCGCTTGGCCACCCTGCTCAGGCCACACAGTCGAGGGTGTGGATGGTGCCCACAAGCCCTTCCACACGGAGTCCTGCCCAGGGTGAAGGGGCACCTCTCTCCTCCCTGTGTGGGCTCCATTAAGCGGGGGAGAGTTTCCTACAATACCCCTGCAGGTAGGGGGGAGCCATTGCGCCTGTTGCTGGCACCTTATCAGATCTCTCTCTCTCTCCCCCATGCAGTCACCCAGGGCATACAGATGCATGCACATACAGAACCCACACAGGGCATACGCATGCACACACAGCGAGCCCACACGGGATGCACCTGCGCGTACACACATGCACACACACAGCTCACACTATACATACGTGTACATGTGTGCACACACAGAGGGAGCCCGCGCCCGGGCCACACCTCAGTCTGAACAAGGAGAGGCCCGCGCGCGGGAAGCTGGTATCACGATGACTTTTTTCTGAGCACCACCCGAACCTCCACTTTCCTCTCCGCCAGGCCCTCCTGTGCCCTTTCTCTCAGTCCCGGGCCTCCTTCCCCGCCACCTGGATCGGGGAGGGCATCCGGACCCGCCTCCGTTCATCCCCCGGCCCCTCACCCGCTCAACCGAGAGCACCCGGGAAGCGCTCGGGCAGGCTCGTGGGGCCAGTTCTCGCGGAAGCACCCTCCGCCCGCCTCTAGATGGCCAGGTCCTGGCGGACGGTGGCCAGGGACGCCTTGCTGCGGCCGCTGCCGCCCTCGCTGTCGCCGGCGGGGGCCGGGTGCGCGTAGGCGGGCGGGCCGCAGGGGTCCGGGCGCGGGCGCCGGGAGGGCGGGACCGGGGGCGGCGGGCGCAGCTGCCGCGCCTCCTCGCGCGCGCGGTGGGGGCGGCCGTGGCGCTCGGGCCCCTGGCGACAGCGCCGGGCGCGCGGGCGGCCCTTCCAGAGCAGGTGGCCCAGCTCGGCCACGCTGAGCAGCGCCGAGAGCAGCCCCACGGCGAAGTAGAAGAGCACGAAGACGGTCTTCTCGGTGGGCCGGCTCACGAAGCAGTCCACGGTGTGCGGGCACGGCGGGCCGGCGCACGCGAAGTGCGGGGCCACGCGGAAGCCGTAGAGCAGCGCCTGGCCCGCCAGGAAGGCCAGCTCGGCCAGCAGGCGCAGCGCCACGCTCAGCAGGTAGCAGCGGCGGCGCGGGGGCGGCCCGGGCCCGGCGTCGGCGCCGCCCGCCTCCTTGCCGGCCCGGTGCACCGAGTAGATGACGAAGAGCACGGGGGGCGCCGAGAGCAGCAGGATGTGGAAGAGCCAGAAGCGGTAGTGGGAGACGGGGAAGGCGCGGTCGTAGCAGGTCTGGCGGCAGCCCGGCTGCAGCGTGTTGCACACGAACTCCTCCTGCTCGTCCTCGAACACGGCGCCGCCCACCGTGGCCAGCACCAGGATGCGGAAGATGAGCATGACCACCAGCCACAGGCGGCCCACGAGCGGCGACTGCAGCTGCACGGCGTCCAGCAGCGAGCCCAGGAACGCCCACTCGCCCATGGCGCTGCGGACGCGGGGGCGTCAGAGGCCGGCCCCATCAGCCTCCCCCCACTCCTCCCCCCCATGGGATGAGGTCAGCTGGCCCTCCTCTAACTCTGGGGCGAGGCAGGGGCTCAGTGAGGCCTGGGTTTAGCTGGGACTTTGTGGGAACTCGGGAGTCGGGGGTGAGGTGGGGGTCAGGAGGGGTTAGGAGATTCTCCACTGTGGGTGCCCTTCTCCTTGGGACCCACAGGTGCGGGGGAGGAGCCCCACCGTCGTGCTCTAGCTCTAGACCCCCATGGGCCTGCTTGGTTGGACCGCTGGCTCCTCCAGAGTCCAGATCTGTAGGGAGTGAACTTGGACGTCAGGAGGGGCAGCCGCCCACCGCATTGTAGAAGCAGAAACCCAGGGGTGCCCTTATGTGCTCCAGGATGCTTTCCATGGGCAACCATGGTGCCTCCAACCCAGGACTCCAGACCCAACTTGGTACCCCCGGGAGAGCTGGGAGCCAGTAGACCCAGAGGGACCTCACCTCCTTCTTTCTCTGCCCATTTCTCTTGCCCTTCTTATTGCAGTGAACTCCTCTCAGAATTGGGGGGTGGACACAAAAGTAGTCCCAGTTCCTTAACTCTATCCTTTGTTCCAGGTGCCCCCTGCCATCCCACCGCAGAGTGGTGGGAATACGGGCCCAGCCCTCTGCCATCTCCTCCCTGGTGTCCCTCAGCTTCCAGGCTCCCACACCTCCTGAGAACCTCCCCCAACACACACACACACACACACTCACACACACACACACACACTCACACGGGTCCCACGGGTCCCACAGCCCCCTGGCGCCCCCCAGACCCTCACCTGACCCCACTCACCCTGCAGTTGGAGCTGAGGTGTTAGAGCTGAGGGAGGGATCCTGGGAGATGGCTGGGACTTGTTCCTCCTAGACCCTCCTTCATGTTCCCTTTTGGATTTGGCCAGGACGGATGACAGGACAGAATAGCTGAGAGGGGCTTGCTCTCCCCCTTCTCTTAAAGGGGCAGGGCGGCCCTGTTGGCTGGCTCCACCCTTGGGAACAGACACAGAGCCATGCCCCTTGCTGGGCTTTGCCAGCCCTCCCTTTCTCCCTAACCCACTCCTACCCCCATCCCACTGCTGTGTCTCCTTCTGGGAATGGGGGAGGGGGTTAACCAGAACCAACCGCTTTTGAGGGGGGAGGTTATGGAAGCCCATGGAACAGATTCCCTCAAACTGGAAGGCCTAGAGCCACTATCAACTGACTGCCACCTTTGAGGCTGGAGAGAGGTTTGGGGCTGAGTTGGGGGCAGCAGCTCTGTCACTAATGGCCTTGGACAAGTCACTGAACAATTCTGGGCCAGTCTCCTGGCTTGTCAACTGAGGACGCTGGGCCATCTGACCCCCAAGTTTCCTTCCAGCTCTATGTCTTAAAGCGAAGATCCCAATCATATTATGGAGAACAAAGAAAACCTGTGCCCAGAAAAAAAAAAATCCCATATGGAAACCATTAGGGCATCAAGAGTGGTCAGCATTGGTGGTTAAATAAAAGCTTTTTCTTTCTTTCTGCTTTTCTACAATTTCCAGATTTATTATAATAAGCATGTTATTTTATAATGGGAAAAATAGACTTTTCCTAGAAGGCTCTGAATCACATCCTATGACTCTAGGTGGCAGGAGAAGCTGTCCCTTAGGGGAAGAGTTAGGATGACTCATGATGACCTGAGTGGCCAGGGAGGGGACACCCCCAGGTTGAGACATTTTGTTCATCCCCTGTAGGCCTTTCTAGGAATCCACCCAACACACACACCATTCCCCTCCACCTGTGCGCCTGCTCTCTACCAGGCCTGGCGCTGAGCCCGTCACACAAATTAGCACATTTAATCCTCTTGATGACCCTGGCAGGAGGGAAGATGAGACTCGGAGGGTCTCAGCCACTTGCCTACAGTCACACAGCATGTAAATAGCTGGTCCCTGTCTCATGCCTGGCTTGACTGGCTGGGAGCCCATGCACTTGAGCCCATCATGGAACTGCTCTCCCTCTAGCCTGCTTGGGTTTCCCAGGGCCTGACAATTCCCAGGGCTTCTGTTGGGTCTGGTGGGCCAGACACTGGAAGTGGACCATGCCTGCCTGGCTCTGAGTGGGGAGGTCAAGACTCTCCTCCTCCACGACATTTCCTCTTCCCTTCAGCCAGGGGGCCTGTATAATTTTCCATGTGTTGACAGGGACCCCCTGACCTGATTTCAGGAAGGGGTGGGAAACGAGCCCTTCACCCATACTGGCTCAGGGGCCCAGCACAGCCTGGAAAAACCCTAGGTTAATGATGGATGTGCCGGGGAACCCTGCCCACCGTCATGCAGCGTTCCCTTGGGAGTGGGCCTGGGTGGGGAGACACTGCCTTGGACAAAGTCCAAAGGAAAGCATGTGCTAGGGCCCCACATTCCAAAAACAGGATATGGGGTGGGGGCATGGCTGACTTTCCCAACCCTGACCTCTGCCTGCTCCTGGCAAAGTTGCTCCCTGACCCCCGAACCCCAGCCCCAGCTATGGGGGCTCAGGGACACACCTCATCTCTCCTGACTGTCCAGGATTGGTCCCTGCCCTGTCCTCATGGCCCGTGCTGGGTCAGGCCACCGGCCTAGCTTGGAAAAACCCCATCAGACTGCCTGTCGGGAGTGGAAAATGGCAGAGGTGGTGGGCTCAGGTGGGGCAGGAGCATGTCTCGCTGTGCTGTCCCCAGCCCCTGATGCCACAGGGCCAGACACAGGAGACTGTACAATCTCTGGGAGCTAACCTCCTTCCCAGATAGTGCTGTCCAGCCTGAGAGGAGGTGTCACTGATGCTGCGCAGGGCTGGTGACACATGGCCCCATTCTTGGCCATACTTAAGATCTGGAGCTGGGCTGAAAGGCGCATCCTACACAGGGTCACGGTCAATCTCTGCCCCAGACACTTCACCCTAGCCGGTGGGACTGTGGAGCCAATTCCCATTCTGTCACACATGGACACACACACGCCGCTGCTGCATGGTTGTACCCAGTAAGTGACATCATCAAGACACGATTGTATTTTCTCTTCCCTGTGCCCCTCTAACAATTTTTAGTCTTTACAGAAATGTTGCCTTTTAGTGAGGCCTTCCCTAGCTGCCCTCACTGGAATGAACCCCCTACTTCCCGTCGCCTTTCTCAGCTTTGTTTCCTTTGCACTGATCACTACATAACACACTCGGTATTTTTTTATTTTGATTTTTTATCCTGTGTGGCACCCGTCTCCTCCATTAGCATGTCGGCTCCATGAGGGCAGGGCCTCTGGTGCTCTGTTCACTCTCCTGGGTCACCACCCACAACAGTTCCTGGCACCTGGTCTATGCTCAGAAAATATTTGTCAGGTGGATGAATGAAGTGGGGTGGGAGGGCTGCAGAGGGTGCGGATCATCTGAGAACGCTGGTGGGTCGCCTGCCTCAGTTGCTCACTCTGATCTCCTCTAAAGCTTGTGATCTCCTCTAAAGCTTGTGATCACTTAAATGGCCGATTTGGTCCGAGATCAGTGATCAGAATGTCTAGTCCCGGGCAGAAATGAAAACCCCAAAACGGGTTAATGGTACAATTCCTCCCTCACCTTCCTTCCCCTTCAGCCTGGGTGGGAACGGTGCGGGCCTCCGAGGGTGGGTGCGTTGGTTTCCGGTTACCCCGCCGCACCTCTCTACCACCCCCCACCCCTTCTGCTGCATAGTGTCTGACCCTTCAAACCCTTTCCGGGCCTGAAAATCCTCCGGACAGGCGACCTTCTGTTCACAAGTGGTCCCCGCTCCTCTCTTCTCCCCCGGCCTTCAGTCTGCGGCTCCGAATACACCCCTCCGGCTCTGCCCCCTCACCCACCGGGACCCGCTAACCCGCTACCTCCTCCCTTGGCTCTATAATTATTTAAGATTAGGTTCGGCTGTAACAGCAAAACAGCAAGAACAGTGGCTTAAACAAGAGAGAAGCTTGTTTCCCTCTCATTTGAAAGGAGGAGGCCGGTGGGCTGTTCAGCGGTGGCGGGGCAGCTCTGTGCTCCAAAGTCCTTAGGGGTGCAGGCTTCTCCCCACCCCTCCCTGGGTGTGGCCCACGTTCTCCGCGATCCTGTCCGCCGCACTCCAGGCAGCGCATGGATGAAGGGATGAAGGCGGGAGAAATTAAGTGCGGGGACGTCTCTCAGAAAGTCCCGGAAGCTGCCACGTGACCGACTGCTCACATATCATTGGCCAGGATGACCTTCCGCAAGGAAGGCTGGGAAATGTAGTCTTTTTTTTTTTTTTTTTAAAAAAACCCCAGGTGGCCTTGCACACAAGAAAGGGGAATTTCACCCTCACCGTCACAGATCTGCTTCTGTTATTGGCCCTCTCCGCTGAGGTGGGGATTCAGAGAAGCTCGGTTCCCTCAAGTCTGCCCCCGCCAGCTGAATAGTTCTATTCAGGTTCTCAGCGGTTTGGTGATGCCCACCCACGTAGGTGGTGATCTTTACTCAGTCTACTGATTCAAATGCTAATTTCTTCTGGAGCCGACACCCCAAGAGACATCCCTAAGAGACACCCCTATCTGGACATCCCTTAATGAAGTCAAGTTGATACATACAATTAACCTTCACATGTTCCTCAGATTTGCAATGGTGCTGCACCTGAGTGAAAGACACCTGAGATTCATTCCTGGAGTGGTTCAAGTTCAGCGTCATATCAGAACTGGAACCCACATATTACTTCTATAACCTGGAAAAATTATGGTTCTTTTCATTTGGAAGGTAGACATGTAAAATTTACTATTTTTGTAAACTATAGGAAGATGCAAAAAAGAAAAAAAAATCACCCAAATCTCATTCTCCAAAGAAAAGCAGATGACATTTTGGAGCAACTTACAGTTGGCCTTTCATTTTTTTTTTTTTTTTAAGATTTTATTTATTTATTTGACAGAGAGACACAGCCTCTTTTGGAGAGGCTTTTTTTTTTTATTCTGATGTTGCTTTTATTTTTAAAATCTGG